TTTCTTTTTTTTCCGTTGACTTGCACGAGTTTATCACACCAAATGATCAAGCTTTTCTTACGACCAGTATATCCAGTTAAGGGTTGTCCTTGAACATCGTTAGCAGGGGACGCGTGCAAGTCGATTACGTGGAATAGTTTACGATCTCAAAGTTAACTTGGGAACGATCGCGGGCTGCGTCGATGCCAAGCCACCCTTGCCTTTCTCGCCCTTCCGTGAGAGGGATGAGATGCGCAAGGTCAGATCTTAAGGGTGGGAGGAGGGTTGCTAGGTTGACAACCCTGCCAGCCAGGCAGAGGGACTCCGCCCATTGGCGGAAACCATGGAAAAAAAAGCAGAGGAGGGTGAAGTCCGTGGGACTCAATGATGGCGATAAAAACGACGAGAGGGCGAAGGGAGAGAAGGAGAGAAAAAGGGATAATGGAAGAGAGACAGAGAAAGCGCAAAACAGTGGTAGAGAAAGAGAGAGGTAGAGAGAGAGAGAGAGAGAGAGAGAGAGAGAGAGAGAGAGAGAGAGGAGAGAGAGAGAAAGAGAGAGAAGTAAAGTCTTAACGGCGTTGCAAGGCGGAGCGTGGAGGCGGCGAAGGCGGGGCAAGTGAGGTTCCAGAGGCGTGATGTATCGACGGAATTCCAAAGTAAGAAGTTACGGACTCTACAGCCCGAGAGAGGAAACTCGCGTCTCACCAGACGTTTTCCTTTCTTCCGCTTCCAGCCACGGAGCCCGAGCTCCTCGAGCGGCATTCTATCCGATTTACCGCACGACCGTTAACGCTATCGCCGCTACCCCTACCTATTCTAAGATCTCCTAACAGTGCTAACTACGTTTCAATCAGCGTTACTTGTCATTACCGATCTCTTCACCGAGGATCTTGAAAACTTAAGGTATAAAATATACTGAACATATCCACGAGTTTCAGAGAACTCTATTGATAAAGGTTCCTATTGGTAATCATTATCTAGGATTTGCCTCCAATGAGATACATTGATTTGAATGTAGAATTAGGTGAGAGTTGGTCAGCTGAATCGCGTGATTACAAATATGACATATATGTATAAAATGTAATTAAATAACACATGAAATATAATCATCAAATATAATAATCAAATATAATCAAATATAATAATCAAATATAATTATCAAACAATGTTACACATATAAGTCAGCTGGAAACTAATTCTAAATTCTAAATTCATAAAAAATCTAATTATACTACAAAATCTAAAATTCCAAATAAATAGAAGAATGTTATTTCAATTCTGAATTCAGATTCCCAACTTGTCACGTGAGACAAGTTTCAAATGCCGACTCTAAATCTGACTATTAATATAATAGTAGTTTTCAAAGGTTTCGTTCTCAAGTTCAAATCTCGAGACTTGGAATCTCAAAATTGGAGTTCAAAATTGGAGTTCAAACTTGGAGTTCAAATCTCGAGACCAAAACAAGTGGTTAAAATTCTCAATTTCGAGGAATGTCAGAATCCGAGAGTGCCAAAAATTCTCGTCATATTCGCGAGGAAAACTGCAAAGTCACTCTCCGTCGCAAGAGGGAGCGGGGCTGACGTTGAAGTAAACGGTTCGATCGAATACGCTCTTTCGGGTTCAGCCGAGTAATTCGGCGACCACCGGCCCGACGTCGCTTTAGGTCGGCAATGTTTAAGGGCGGTTTTATAGTGTCCGGCGCAGAGGTCAACCTGGCCTCGGATACATCACCCCAGACCCCTTACGTCCCTTTGATGGATCGCGGCTCCCTCGGCTCCCGTCGTATGCAGTATTCGACTTCGATTTCTCATCCCCGGCAACGGATTACGCGCCAAATGGATCCATATCCATCGCGCGCGCGGCATCGATCACTTTTTTCGGTGCAATGTAACTAGCATTAACCTTCTACTACGATATCCCGATAACTACTATGACGAAGTCGAATCGCAGAGAGACTGCGAATATTTTTTCAAAAAAAAAAAAAA